ATTGTGAATTTTTAACACCAGTGCCATACGCCGATTAATGGGTCTACTCAACGACATTKCAGCCGACAGCTGGAAATSTAATCACCAGATATGGGCAAYGAAAAGGCAAAAAATGGTGGGAAAATTGTGAAATGTATTGCAGAAATTTCTTTGCTCATTTTYAAGTAAAAATAGCACCTCATAATAAATATATACTAGAAAAATGTCCAATTTAAATAATTGGAATCAAGTTTTTAATGCTACAAAAAAGTACATTTTTTTCATTAACACATTCCAATTACACAATAAACACCGTATATACTAATGTATATATCCAACATAAGAAACGCCAAAGCAGCGATCACTTCGTATATTAAGTAGTAAGGATATATGTAAATATAGGTGGTCGTTCTCCACTTGATCTTTCCAACGGAGTTGAAGTCTTCCGCTTCTACCGAAGAGTACTAAACCGAAAACCTTAAAAACTGGAATATTATTCTCTTCCATCCGGACAACATGACTTCTAGAGTTTGGTCTTTGTACGTCGAGAGGACTTTACTTTTCAATTTGCCTACTCAGCCTGAAGTAGCACCTGTTAGCATGAGACACAGAATAGTTGGATTTTGAGGCTGACGTTGTTATTGGTGTTAATAAAGGTTCCAAGATAAATGAAATTATCTTACTTCGGAGCTTACCAAGTCACGAGTGCGATTACTGTTTTTTTTTTTTTTTTTTTTTTTTTTTTTTTTTTTTTTTTTTTTTTTTTTTTTTTTTTTTTTTTTTTTTTTTTTTCAGTAAGATCACACGATAGGGAGTCTCCTCGTATGAAACCACGCTTGGTATCGAACGGCTCGAGGAGATCCTTCCCGATGCTTTCGCGAAAAACTTCAAATAAAATCTCTTACTATAACCTGAGATTAATTTTTCCCTAAGCAAACATGCAATGAGGAAATATAGAAGATCCCTTCTGCTATACCGTCTGTGTCAGGTAGTATCTAAAATATTTTGAATSTGATATCTGAAATTTTGCATACGTCTTTTTTTCCACTTGAAATTGCTTATGTATCGTTACTACCGGTATCGATCGATTTGAAAAGTTATATTAACATTTCTACATTTCATTTCGAATGCTACAATTTCCGGGAGTATTGTTCAGATCAGATCAATGCAGCATTTATATCGATTAAAATCACGAATATACTCTTTAGTGTTGCACTTTTATGTATGTTTAATGTGTGTTTTTTCGGTTGTTGTTGTTGCTGCTGCTGTAAATTCAGCCCTTGTCTGCTAGTCCGTTCTGGTTACATAGACCCGACTATGATGGGAATAGGAATATGGGGCATATTAACTATCGCTGTATTTCGAATTACATACTATATATACCCAACACAAGATRAGGGAATGAGAACATACTACATGTGGCTACATAYTTAATAAATACATGTGATTTGGCTTTAATAGATCCTTATCGAAGTTAACTTTTTTYGCTTTCTTACCGTACGAATGCTAACAGACAAACTAAATTCCTGAAAAAAGTTCTGCCCGGTTGGRCTACATTAATGAAAACGTTTGTTAATTGTTTGAAAAGCAAAAAGTATCATCCGCATATAAATATCAATGSCTATAAATCTAAAGTGAGTATTTCGGCGAACAAATAATTGAACTTGAATGGTRCAAAAGGCTTACTACTGTACGCAATCTGATCCATTGTCATATAARAGAGAACAAACTAAAAATTTTCATAACAATATTTGTATTTCACATATATAAAACCAACGCGCACATTTGACTTCCAAGAAAAAATATGATTTTCCTATTTGGAAAAGGAAATGAAACAACTGGAGTTGACAAAAGATATCGTTTTTACATACATAAACTTAGAAATTTCTYAAAAATATAAATTACTCGATTTATGAAAATCATATATTATATATTATATCTTCTCTGTATCTTCTCGAAAGATAAATTAATTTTCGTAAATACATTTTGCAAGATGTCATTTCATGAAAATTCTAGATAACTCTTTGCTAGATTAAACCAAATAATCAGGTGTATTTAGGAAAATAACGAGAAATTGGAACCAGCAAAGATTGAAATCTGGAAAAATATTATAAGAGCTCACGTCACACAGGAAAAAGCGAAGGAAAGCAAAATGTACAAATAATACGGATACAAAGCCAGCTAGCTTAAAAAAATAGATGCGATGAATACCGTAAAAGCATGGAAATTTAAAATAAACAAATAGTGGAAATGACAATTGACAGTTGAATACTTCCAAAATCTTACTGCTAAGCCAGCTAACAACCAAGACTTCCCCACCATCTGAACAGTAGCACAAAAGGACATACAAATATTATTTTGTTAACTTTGATGGGCCAGCTTGTGTGACAGCTTTATGTTATAGCAGTCCTACCTAGACAACTTCGCTGCAGATTATAGCGTTGCCTTAGAAAAAAATTCGTGCAAAATTTATTGAAGATGAGAATTTTTTCGCAGCGAACACTATTTTAAGGTCTACTCGGATTACTGTCAATTAGTTAGGTTAGATTAATCTAGTAGGCCAATAACCTAAGCATGAACAAGAGATATTCCATTATTTTCCTGGTAACCTGCTCTAGACATTGCCTGACAGTTAGTATTCCAATCATGTTGCTACAGTCTGAGTGCAATGTTGACCACGCCTTTGTGACCAGACACCAAGTAGAAATGAAGTCACTTATTTCTGGCAACATTTTTCTCAACTGCCCCGCTTTGCCAGACTCTTCTGGCCGATATGCGATACGAGGACAATTGGATTTCGGAGTGACATTAACTTGTGTGTTTTTTTCAAAACCCAAATATGTCTTATACCCAAATATTCGTGAATCATATGATATCTAGAGTCCCTACTACCTCGAACAACTACATTTATGGTCGCCTTTGGTGCTCATTTCACCACTTCTAATCTTAGCATACCAATCTTTARCAGCAAATCCTTGATGGTTGGAAACTCGTCATCAAGCCAATTTTTTGCTGCAACTGTGTTCTTTTCCTTTTTATCCATTTTTTAAAACAAAAGTTTCTTCATTCAAAATGATATATTTCAAAAATCAAAGTTCCTTCAGATGTCAAATTTCTTCACGCACCTTTTGAAGGTGCTAATTTATATATATATACTATAACTCCATATCTAACTCGATTAGTTTTAGGCCATACAAAGAACCGAATTATTGTATCTGTAACAACAAGTGCAGGAGTGTAAATATTGATGCTTGATGTTCCACTTGCAGAGCCAATCCTGCAGGGCGATCAATTTTGTCCACAGCTTCCTGAAAGAGGCAGTACAGTTCTCGTCAGCAGTGCAGTGTCGTACGTTGTCGTAATTTTTGAAAAAGATCTGATCAGGGACAAGTCTGCAGCTTTTGGGTATACCAGCACGTGTGAGTCTTAGGTCCGTCTCAGAATCGGTGGCACATGACATAGGTTTTAGAATATTATTTTGCGTAATAGGCTTAGATGCCAGAACTTGTCAAATACTTGGCCGACATTAAGCAAAACTACGCAGAAATATATAAAATATGCCACGCCATCGTGGGACAAGTGCACAAGAGATGCTCAATTKWTTCCCTGGTGCCCTGCTCTATGCATTTCCTGAAGTATTCTCGATCTGTCAGCCTCATCTTGCTGGCGGACCAGTTAGTATTCCCATAAAGTGCCTATCATCTCTTCTATCGAGTATCAGTATGAATTTTGTGTGCATTCAATCAATCGTTTCGCACACGACTTTTGCAGATTCCTTTTATTTTTTTCCCCCTTTATACTTTTTTCAGTAAATATTCATATTTCACTTTGTTCTTGAGCAACATAGATCAATATTAAGCGGGAAGCATGGTTTTTATGAGAGTTCTAAATTAGTACAAAAGAAGAAAAAACATTAACTTCGGTTTGCACCTTTCACAGGTGCATTTCTGTAAGTAACTACATGTTCAGTTTCTATGGAACCTATATGCTATAGTAATCCATTCTGAATAAATTTTTAGAGATTATATTGTTACCTTAAGCAGTAATCCATGCCAAATTTCGTGAAGATACCACGTCAAGTGTGAAAGTTTTCCATACAAAATCTTGATTCCGATCATTCAGTTTGTATTACAGCTATAGGCTATAGTTAACTGATATGTACAATTTCTTAGCAGATTCTTCGGAGGCAACAATGTGCCTTAGGAAATAATCTATACCAAATTTCGTGAATGTATCTTGTCAAATGTGAAGGTTTTCCATCCTAGAACTTGATTTCGATCGTTCAGCTTGTATGGCAGCTGTATATTATAGTGGTCCGATGTCGGCAGTTCCGACAAATGAGCAGCTTCTTGAAGAGAAAATGACGTTTGCAAAATTTCAAAACGATGTCTTAATAACTAAGGGACTAGTTCGTATATATACAGACAGACGGACATGGCTTAATCGATTCAGCTCGACATACTGATAATTTATATATATACTTTTTAGGGTCTTCTTTCTGGCTGTTACAAACTTCGTGACAAACTTAATATACCCTGTTCAGGGTATTAATATAAGTGTTTAAATATTCTAGAAATTAAATATTTGGTATCATCTGTCCCTTATGTACTCACACTGATTATGTTCTCTCCCTGAGCCGTGATCTTCTGAATTCCATAAGCTCGATGTGGCGCCAATATAAACATTGTTCAAGGCTGTTGACGACTCTGCAAGATTTGATTTTGTGCGGTGAATTTTTTTATTGAAACGTTGATCTATTTTGTCAACGCGAGCACCCATTATAGTTGTTGTTAATATAATTTTAAAAGAAATTAGATATATAAATATATGTAATAAAGGCTGTGTGTATTGATATATTGGTATGTATGACAAGTAGTGTATTCTGCGTTAACCTCAATTTTCCTGTATTAACATCGAGAAAATCGATAAAACAAGAAGTATTGCTATAAAATTATAACATAAATAAGACAAGTTGATGTATTAAGGGGTCATTAGGGTAATCTTTTTCAATAAATTTTTTTTTTTTTTGTGCATTTCCTGTTCCGCTATACCCTTAGAATTAATGTAGAAACCCACTTTGCTATTGGAAGGTTTCGACAAAGGCCCAAAAATTATAACACCGCTCGACGTTCGGAGAGCTCGGAGTGACCATCTTTGTATGTTTTTTCAGTACCTCAAACTGTAAACGCGTTTTTCTCAAAACACACTTTTTTCAACTAGCAGTCATGATTTCGGTCGAACCGCTCAAACGATTTGCTTAATTTTTTTTTTAATGTCTCTACTAGATTCATAATTTTTTATAACATTGACATATAAATTTTGTAAAAGACATTGGAGAAATATTAAAAAAAAAATACGTTAATTACTTTTTAATTCATCAACATCTTTTCATGATTCTATTAGRGACGATAACCATTCATGTACTTYTTTTGGCCAACTCTTCTTTCTAAATGTTAGTTGAGGTTCAAAGATGGCCGGAAAATCCCTAAAACCATCCTTTTTATTTTTCCCACACAAACGAATGAATGYTTGTTTGTTAGTAACCCTAATGATCGAGACCGACTGCACCAATCTTGATGAAATTTTCAGAGGGTGTTCGCTGTGGATCGGGGAAGGTTCAGAAATACAAAAAAAAAAAAAACTACATGCTTTTCGTGAGGAAAAGTCGGAAAATTGGATTCAAAAGTATCTTTCCTTCGTACAAAACTTTTCAACAAACATTGGCAGCCCAAGACATGTGACCGAGTACTCCCAGGAAGCGACGACATACGTGCGGCATTATGAATCGCGGTCAACCAGCAAGCGATCGTCACGACGTCACAGTACGACTTTTAAAAACAACATTTACGATGTTTGATGGAATTTGTCTTGAAGCAACGTATATGTGGTACTGTTAGATGCTAGATGTACTCTGTTGAGTGGCAAAAGAGAGATTTGTCGCACGCACACATTCTTCTTTCGACAATGGAGGGTGGATCCACCAGATCAAATTGGTGAAATCATTTCTGTGAAAATTCCTAATCCAGTATTATAGGAAGTGGTGAAAATCAATATGGTTCATGGTTTTGCGGACACCCCAATCCCACTTTGGTTTGTATGTCTGAAAATGAATGCACGAAACACTATCCACGTGCTTTCGGAAACACAAACTGGAAATGATGGATCTATCGGCGTCGCTCACCAGACGACAATGACAGAACATTCAGCATTAAATTTAAAAGAGTGAAAATCGAAGTTTACAACGCATCGTACTACATATAATCACCATTATTGTCCAATTARCATTCCAAACTCATATCAATGTTGAGTATTGCAGTTTGGTGTAATCGATAAAGTACGTTTTTAAATACGTCACCAAACGAAGCAACATGGCGGTTATTGGTCTTGAAGAAGATGAGATCAGCAAGTACCAAGTATAATCGATACGAGAACTGCAATAAAACGCTTTGTAGGGTATTTACTTTGGCAATTATGAACGTTTTCCGACTGTTGGGTGTCTCACAGTTAATTTGGATAATGACCAAAGAGTGTTTTTTCAACCTTGAGAAAACACCGCCAACAATAAAATTGATATTCACGAGTTTTTTTCTCAGCTTGCGTCAGTGATTCGTTTGCGAGAACATTGCTCTATTCAGAAGTGCCTTTTTATTATACATGGAATGCATCGTCGAAAAAATAATTACGCAGAAAGCACGGTCAACCAGTAGATTGACATTAAGGTATGTTCTCAACTAATTCCATAGGACGAATTTACATAATCCACTGGAATGCAAATGAAGTTCGCACACTTTTCGACATAATCCTTTCAACATATCAGCCTTCACATCCGCGTCAATTATGTTAATTACATTGCCGAAGACATTTTACATCGTCTTTGCTAAAAATTGGAAATGGGTCAATTCCGGTTGATACTTCCGGTGGTTTGATATCAATTCCATGCGCCGTTAATCAATTCTCGAAAGACGAACTCTTCACGAAAGAAYGGACATTGGTCAAACTACCGTAAATATGATTCCTTAAGTGCACGCGCAATGCTAGCTGCCAAAAATACCGATGTTGTTGACTCAAACTGGGCGATTCAAAATCAAATTCCGGGAGACTTGCGCTCATGCAATTCGATYGATCGTCTTGACAATGAAGACGACGCMATGAATTACTCATTGAAAGTTGGATCTGTCGTTAYTATGTTTCGCAGTCTGCATTCGCCGAAACTGTGTAATGGAACCCGACTGAGTGTGACACACCTATCGATGCTTGATTCTACGAATTYCTTTGAGTTCTAACGATTTCCCATTTCAGTTTAAACGTATTCCGTTTCCAGTGAAAACTGCATTWGGGATGACAATCAACAGGACRCATAGTCGCACAGTGTGAGGCATAAAATTGGAAATGCTATGTTTTTCACGCGGATAGATATAMTTTCGTTCTTGGGAGTTGGAAAACCATATTTTCTGTCTAGCGGAACAGAAACCAAAAAATGTTGTTATCAAGCTGCGTTACATTGAAAAAAATACCAAAATGATAAATTTAACTCAAGCAAAACTACGGCTGCGGGGTCAACTAGTTGTAGAATAAAAATGTCAAAAAACAGGCCAGATTACCCTGCTGACCCCTTAAGTAATTGAGAGACCTGTTCAGGTAAGTTAGGGTCAGCCAAAGTGAAATAATGGATCTTAGGGGAAGGACTTGTAGTGTTATACACATAACTGTATCTATATTGCTTGTTGTGAGGAGGAGAGTATGCGAGGAGCAGAACTAAAATATACAAAATAATTATTTTTGAGGATATTTTTTAATTTGTATTTTTTTTTTTTTTTTTTTTTTTTTTTTGTTTTTTGTCCATTGCATTTATACACACCTTTGTTGATGTATTTCGTAACCAGTACTGGCACGGTGTTTAGAGCCACCGTCGGTGCTAATATGGTTACTGTCGTTGTTTGCGGCATATCTGCAATGAAAAAAGGTAAAATTAATAACAGAGTCAAGGAAAGTGAAAAAGTAGAGTGTAGTATAGTTTGTTAGTTGTTGTTGCTTCCTTTTCATTAGGAGTGGTTTGTACGTGGCGAATCGCAAACTCAGCGCACAACCTCACTCGGCGACAAATATAAGGCTTTATACACATTAAGTAAGCTCGCCGATTGTTTCAAGACAAATGCCCGCTCGCCATCGCRCCTCTGGTGAACAGACGCTGGAATTAGATTAAAGCCAAACCTCGGGCTCCATACCGGCTTGCTACCGGATCTTATGCAAGGGTTACTCATGTTTTCAGCATGCGCGGTGAAGATGAAAGAGTACAAATTGGTTATAGTTCTACAACTGTAACTGCTTACACAGAAGCATAACTATACCCCATTACACAATACTGTAAACATTATTAATGTTTAGAGCCGTCCAACTTGAGTTTTCGCCATTATTGAAAAAAACTAAAATAATCTATATTTTATTTCGCATGTGCCATCCAACCACAAAGCTGTCTGAGAGTTTTTTAGTACGAAATCTAGTTTTCTAACTTCATATACTGGAAAAAAATGGATTTATATTTACCAAATCTTTTATTATATAAATACAGACTCCATCTGTTCTCATTTTCTGGATATCTTATTTTATTTTAGTGGCAATGAAATTTAAAAACTTACCAGATGTCTTCTAAACTTTTAATTAAACTATAATGTYTACCTATACAACACAATTTTAGAAGTTTTTTTTCCCCCTGGCACTATGTGGTATATTATAATTAATCTCAATATCTACAGAACGTATTATTTTAATTAAAATGTAACTTTCTAATTAAACGAAAAACGTTCATGTTATCTTATATGCAAAATTATATTAATTAGTAGTCCTYCTTAACTAAATGTTAGGTAATTAAGTAAAAAATAGTAAGTTATCTATATATAGTTTCAAATATTRTGCACCAGTAAATATTTATGTTGCAATCTGGCATATAAATCAATTCAATTATTTGCAAACCGAAATCTTCTGATTTAATTTCTAACATTCAACTTAATAATTAACACATGATTCAATGCTGGCCAACCATACCGCAACTTGACTATTGACCTAAGTAAGTATTGACAAGAGCCCCAGATCTGGCCAACATACGAGTATCTTCAAATTAGTACTTAAACACCAACGCGCTTTGTTGCTCATGGTTATATTGGAGTGTGGTTGAATAGTACATATATTCACAATTGTTAAACTCCATTGTTAAACTCCATTACAATTAGTGCATCATTAATTATGCAATCCACATCGGTGTCAGCTTACACACAGTCAAGTAAGCTTAAACTAAAGGACCCAAAAAATTCTCCACAAAACACAACTTTGTAAGTAACTGTGTATGAAACAACAGTGGTTAAATACAGGGTGGCTGATGAATTTCGCTACATTAAGAAACTAAATTTTGGTTTTTTTTTT